CATTTATGCCAAGCGATTGCTTATGAACTCGAGTTGATGAATTATGACAATGTCTACTTTATGACCTTTATATAATATGTTTTAGACGGTTGTAAGAATGCATATTTTATCTCTCATCTGAAGAATCATACCGCAATAGTATAGACATTTCAAAATAAGAGTCCCGGTGTATTTCGGGCTTGTTTATAATTAAAAGTCACACGTTAAGTTTTTTTGGGGGGGTATTATTGGTATTATGGTAACACAATTAATTGTATTTAATTTAATTTAATTTCCATTTCATTCATAGTAAAATATTGTAGTTTCTGGCTGGGATGCTTCCCCACAGGAAGAAAAGACTAAGAACATTATTTGACACATATTAGGCCTATTCAATATATAGATTTTACTAGTATCAGTAAAATCTGTGTCCCATTCACTGAGAGAGACACTATATGACAAAGTAAGGAGAACTCTACCATTTAAATGCTGTAATTTTGCATAATTTACAATGCATAATAATGCATAAAATGAGTATGTAATTAAATGTAATAGTAGCCTATGTAATTAAAATGAATTTCAATAAATTAAAATATTGTTAAAAATCACACATTATTTGTTATTTGTCACATGTAGACCATTTTTGTGCCGTGGGTAATAGGAGGATTTTCCACCCGGCTACCACCGTAAGTATATTTCAAACCTGTGGGAAGCACTGTATATATACAGTATATATATTAGGGCTGCACAATTAATCGATTTTCTAATCGCGATTATAATTACGGCTGCCACAATTACATAATCGTTCAAAGCCGCAATTAATCATTCAAAGTCCACTTATGTTATTCTGCATGCTTAAGATGCTTTTTTTCTTTGTACATGTTATCTTAAGGGTTTTTTACGGTGGCCGAGAGAGCTCAACGCGCTGCAACTTCAGAAAACGCATGCAAATAGAAAAAGCACCAGCAAATCAAGAAAACATCTTCATCAGTTTGACAACACACGCGCTGCAAATGCTCACAACACAACCAAATAAAGAAACACACTGCAAATGCTCACAACACAACCAAATAAATAAACACACTGCAAA